CATGGTTCTGGAGGGAAGAATCTTGGATTCCTTGCCTATGCTTTTGTGCATATTTTACATAAGTTGAGCATTAAGAGCCCTGAGAATGAAGTCCAGGATTACTTACTCCGTGTGGATCCTCTAATAGAAAGGCTATGTAATCAGATTCTCTTTCTTTTCTGATTTGCTTTCCATATACTAACACAATGTCAAGAGGAGAAGTAGTACGTACCTTCTTCACCTACGACGAGCACTGCAGCTGCACAACTCCTTTTTAGTAGCTAGTCTCAAGTCTTCTTAAGTGGATTTGCATTCTTTTCCTGAAAATAGAGAAAGTTTCGTTGTATTTCACAGCAGCGTTGCAAAACCATGTGTTTACATATGGTTCATTTTACACATAATGGTATACTGTAGATATACATATATTAATTGCAGTGGATCCCTCTTACACCAATTCCAGATGGTGCAGAATGAATTTCTTAAAAAACTCCTCTTCTTGGAATTTCAAGCACTGAACTTCCTGTTAAAACAAAAAGAAGTGTATATGTATGTATGTATGTATGTAGTGTATTTACAGAAGACGAGATGATTAAAAGAACGTTATTAATCCACATGTATTTGACTTCTTATTTTATCTTGCCCTCAAGCTCATTTTATATTCTACACACAACTGGCAGTAATTCTAGGCCAATAACAATTTAGATCATCTTCATCTGTTCTCAGCAGCTGGTACGATACATGATGATTTGTGTTAAGACCCACACTGTTTGCCCATTCCACAGCTGCTCAGAGTAGTCTGCTTATGCATTGAACTTTCTGTGGCAAAGATCTTCATGACTTTTTTATCACTGGGGTATGCTTATACCTAGTATCTCCTAGGTGGATATACGGTCAAGTTCCAGCTTAGCCCAAAGCTCTTTTTCTCTACATTCTGAGAAATGTAGAGAAAATATTGACAGGCCTGTCATAGGCCTCCCTAGGAGATGGTGACGGCACTGAATAATGACCTCCTTCCTAAGCATATTGAATTTTGACATGTTTCATTGTGATGATGGCTTGAAACAGGGTAGAGGATATTTTTTTAATCAGTGTTGAGGAAGCAAGACACATGTGTGATTGGAGTATTTCAGCTTCCTTGCAGGCAGAAATGCTTTTTTCTCTTAAGCTGTGAAATTGGAAAATAGTTTGCCATTGCAAACTAACTTCTTAATGTCTTTTTAAGTAAATTGACTTAAAAATCTCTATTTGCATCATTGTCTTAATAACACAGCCATAGAAAATAGGGCCAGAAGGACTTCTCCAAGAGGTCAGCCTGGCCGTGCTGCTACCACCTGAAGGCAGGACTAACTGTACCTTTACCATTCCTGATGGGTGCTTGGGGAACCAGTTTTTACAACTGTCAGTGACTAAGCCACCACGGCCTTCCTCGGTGATCTAAGCCGAGCTTAACCGTAATATACGGTTATAGGTGCACTTAAATGACTGTTGTGTAAATATGTGTACAATGCAGATACGTGTTGCTCATGAGAATTTTCTACCTTTAGGAATCTTTATGGTACAGACAAATGATTATTAACAATTGGAAGAGATGGCTTAAAATGGAAAGCCTTTTGAAACTGAGATAATGACTCTTCTCTCTGAAATTTGTAATTCAGATCCTGAGATGAAAAACATTACTTCTTGTGTTGCCATTAAAATATATTTTAGGACAGGTAGTTATATAATTTAGGCTTTAGAAAAAGAGCACTCAGTTATCAGGGAGCCATTCAGGAGTGGAAGAGAAGTTCCTTCTGGACGCAAAGGACGTATGAAGCTACTCTTATGTGCAAGACACAAAATACAGTTTTTGGGGTGTACTCTGTCACACTGTTCTAAGTTGCTATTTTTCTTCTGCATAGGCCCAGGGGCCACATGTTTCTCAAGGTATGTGTATGTCAGAAAAACAAACGAGCTGTTATTCATTAATAACTAGATGTGTGAATCCTTAACTGAGCAGCTGCTCATACACGTGGTGCTAGTGAAGAAAGCTGATCAGACTATTAAGCCTCTGGTGACCATGTGAGAAGAATCAGCAGCGTTAAACATAACACCTAAACAAATAGATGTTTGTATTCTCTGAATTATGTATCCCATAAAAGATAAATCTTTCCTTCTCAAAGATGAAACAAATAATTATATTCTAATATATGGAAGAAAGTTATCCTTATCTACATGATTATAGCAACAGTAACGCTTTGAATCATGCGTATAACCTTGGGCTGTGCCATTAGAGTAAATATAGGTGAGAAGAGAAAGAAAAGGTTTCTAATGAGCAGAGTACTACTGGGAGCAATCAAATCTATTTCTTGCTCTATACTTTCCCTGATTTTTGCCTACCACCTTTTCCACTAGCAGAGATAAGAAGAGTTTGATATATCCTACTTTTCAAAGGCTTCAAACTTATGACAGTGAAAGGCTAGGATTTCAGTTTTTCATTTTAGCTAGGACTGAAAGTTGACCTACCTTTAAATATTTATTTTAGCTTCCCAGGTGGAACATCAAGCTATTTCAACAAAACTGTTTCTTTCCCCTTCTTGAAATTGCATTTTTCCTTGAAAAATCAGATACATGAATTTTGCAGGCAGCTTCCCTGAAAACTCTCTCTCTCAAAAAAAAAAAAAAGAAAAATATTTTTCTGAGCTATGTGCAATTAGGTACATAGCCTATGCTCCAGTGAAGCTGTAATCCCCTATAAAAAACAGACAAATCCTTTTGGGTCTCTTCCATTCTTTGTTATTGTCTATTTATTTCCTACACTTGCTCCTTTAATTACAATTGTCTTTTTCAAAGCATGACAACCTTTATAAAAGGCAGAGAAAGTCAGTGCTAGTGATTGCAGTAGAAGGTGGACTTGTTATATGAGAGATTATGGACACCAGAATCACTGGAAGAGATAACTGCGGTGGAGAGGCATTGAGAGAGGGTTGTACAGTCTTATTAATCCTTCCATTAAGCTTTTCTGCCCAGATAATTGGGCACGGAAGTAATACACCATTACTGGTTTTGATCCACTGTAACTTTTCTTTTTAAAGCACTATCTCTATGAAAAGGGCAGATATGATTATGACAGCGTGGCATGGGAGCTGTGCCTCTTAAAGCCTGGACAGGGACAGAAGGTTTGCCGCTGTGTGGATTCTCTTTTCATATCTGTTGTTGGCAGCTTTCTCCCTCATGTTAGACGATGAGATGTGGGAACATGATGAGAAACAAATAACAGAACCTACACAGCAATATTTATAATAGCATGACGAACCTTGTTTAAAAACACCTTTCTTGAAGAAAGTCTTCATAATTGACTTAGTTTAGAAGATGATTAACATGCTTCCATCGAGATAAGCTTTGTTTCTTGTGTTCATTTGAATTTATAGTTCTTAGTGTCACTAATTGTAGCCATTCTTTAACAAAAAAGGCAATATCAGTTTTTTTTGTTTGCGGTAGGCACTGTCTATGGATTCTACCTCCTGGGCAAGAGGCATATATTTCTATTTCCAGAAGCAGTTCAGAAAGCAGTCCCTGCTTTCTTCCCACTGGACTTTTCCCTGAGTCTATGTTCCCCTAACTCACACTGATTTTAGTAATCCATATTTTTGTATTTTGAGCATTATATCGCTCAACTTGAAACCTTTTTAAAGGAGGTGTGAATCAATGAATTGCTGTGCTACCTCACTTTAAAGCTGGAACGAGGAAATACAGTGCTAGGTGTGCTGCCTTTTGAAATGTCCATACCCCAGTTCATGCTGTGGTATCATCTGTTATGAAAAGTCTTAGGGAAGCTGTCACAAATGAAAACAATAGACTGATGGAAACAAGTGTTTTTAAAGAATGCTGTGAAACTGGACAATTTCAATAATAGTTCCTGATGGTACTTTCTAACTATCCCAAAGCAGATGTTTTGAACACAGAGGACTGCTATAGCTCTTGCTATTAGCTTTTGCTATAGCTCTTGCTATTAGCATTTATATTCTGATAACATCATAGAGCTAAGCCGAGGTTGTTTTAGGACCTGTTTAAACAAATGCTCTGAATATGTAGACTCACATAGAAGAATTGCAGAAAGATTCTCATTCTGCTCTACATTTAGGGGAATGTTTCCGTAAGTGTTTATTGTCCAGATGATACTTACAGACTTTGAGGGCAAACTTTTTGTCTTAGCATAAATTTGCACACTATTGCAAAGTACATTCAATACCTCCTTACCAGACACTGAATTAAGGCTTGCAGGATGCGGCAGCTCATGCCTCTCTGCCCTCTTTGTGGCTGCTGCATGCAGCTAATTCCTCCTGGGAAAAGAAGCAGGCCATCAGTTTGTTTACCATCCAGTAAAGATACCTGGCAGTTTCCTTGCACAAAATGAGCTGCTCTCTTGTCAGAAAGATGTTTGATCCTTTCACAAGCTCTGCCATCTGTTGAATAAATATAGGCATGTGAAAGTTCAAAGTGCTACTGTGCATAACAGGCAGTGTTACAGTGCGTAGTATCGACTCTTAGAATTAAGACACATACAGCCCCCAGTTACGCTAGAGTAACAATGCTGTTAGGAACAGGACAAACACTTTCTAAAAGTCACCCTCTCAAATTTCTTTAAAAACCTTCAATATATAGATCAACATTTTCTGTTGGTTATTACATGGATTTTTTTACTTAATCACCAATTATTAACTCTGCCCACACAAAATTCATTCATAGTCTGCTTCATTTGCTTCAACAGCCTGAACTGCCCTTAAAAAATCCTTAAAAATGCAAAGTTAGAGAGCATTTGAATTATAACGAATAAGGTGGCGATTTTCAGTTTATTCCTCAGTCCCAGATAGACTGTGAAATCTCTTGTGCAAAGTGTTTAAGATTGATTAATGGGTTTCTGTTTGTTTTCATTTGAGTATACAGAGAAAAAGCATACTATTCCACTCATAAACAAGATCATCTATATACTTTCTTGTAAATGCATGCAAATATGGAAGTATGCCCTTGTTTTTTTTTATTGCTGATATAAATTTAATCATTCCTCTTTCCAATGCTTATAAGTGAGGCAAACTGTTTTGAGCATAACTGTTCTATAGATACATCAATGTTGAATAAATCTTGTCATTTTCAAAATACTCTTGTAAGATTATCCATGAGCATTTGTTGGGCTAGAAAACGCCCATAGCATTGAAGTACTGACTCAGCAAGACATTCAAACACTTGCTGTCAATACTCTGACCTGAGAACATGCATAAGTGATTTGCCCTGCTTGTTCAAAATCTGTCAATGTTAAGCCATTATAAAATGGTTTGTTATTGTATGACAATTAATAATATAATAAGGTGAGATAACATTGAACCAAATATTTATTACACCTGCTGTGATGAATGATGTGATATGCTAATACGATTTTCATTGTCTTTGAGTTTTGTCACATTGTGGGGACACTTGCAGTTTCAGGATAGGGTTCTTGAAGACACATAATGGCAAGATAGTCCCAGCACTGAAAAGATTATGATCTAGTCATTAGTCAAGGGTCAGCATGAAGCAGGGGGAAGATTATGATAAACAAGGTAGGAAAGTAAAAGAGGAGATAATTATTAGTTTAAGTTGGGGTCACAGGCTGCTACAAGTAGGATTTATCTGACTGAATGTAGAAATCTGAGTGACACTTGAACAGTCTAGCTGATGGAGGCTTTTAACCAGTGTAGGCTTTGTCTCGAATATTTTAGCCATTTGTGTTTAGGCATCTTCTCTAAATTAGTTGTCTGTATGTCATCTGCTGTCAAGAGAGAGAGGTACCTCCAGAGGGTGTTTCTTTCTACATAAAAATAGATGTATAAGATAGGAGTCATGAATTGTTCTCAACAGCTGACTCTTTCCAGTGACTTAAGAGGAGCACAGAGGACTAATTAAGTTTAGAGAAGTTGTAGACAGCACACGTTGGTTTAGCAGAATCCAACCCATAACTCACAGCTTAATTTAATGATCTGATGATTGATATACCAGTTCTCAGAAGTGACTATTTGGTTCTCTGCTTATTCCATTGCAAGTGGAGATCTGATTCTTTCCCTCAGAGGTGTGCATTCAGGAATAACTGTGCTGCAATTCGTACATGTACCCTCATGATATACAGATATGACAAGAGTTGTATCCTACGGAACTTTATCAGTTATTTGCTAATGGAATAAGGATTTGTGGACAATAATGAAACATTAGAGATCTATTAGTACATTTTAGCAAGAAGAAAGACCTTACGATAGCATATACCCAGAATCTGGATTTGCTTTAGCTTGATATGAATTTATAAGCTTCCAAGCTATTCAATATAAATATCTCTCTGCAGGCATCAAAAAATCTTGGAGATTATCTGAGTTCTGTCAATGCTCACAGTACCACTGAGGAGTTTATGATCCCAGTTTCGACATTAGTTTGCTAAATGCCTTTGCCTAGCCGCTCCCCACTGCACATTCCTCGTTTTCTAAGCTGTGGGGAGACTAAGGGAGGTAAGGAGTCACTACTTCTGTAAAATACCTTGAGATCTTGAGTCAAAAAGTGCTCTTTAAAAGATGAATAATGATGTGGTTATTAACTCAAAATACCAGCCTGCCCATTTTCTGCTAATGTAGGTGGTATGTTCTCAAAGTTCGAAAATAAGCAGTTTAGGTCACTAATGTAAAGCAAACCAAACTCAACTATAAAATATAAGATTTTATTGCTCTAATGTCAGCAGCCTTTTGGGATGATGCCCACATTCTTGATTCATCCATAAAATATTGACAACTATTGTTTTTTAATAGCATTTAGTTGAATCTTTTTTTTTTCTTTACCAGAGGAGAAAAGCTAATGATTCTTAAGGCAAGTATAATTCCATTGTGGCCTGACTCCATTATTTTTCTCTTGGCTAAATTTTATCTCTTTGCTGGTGGGAAATGCTTTTAAAAGTGATTAGGATGTTGAAGTTCTTGCAGTAAAATCTTGCATTCTGTGCATGTGCTAACATGACAAACCAGGATGAAGAGCAGGGAAGATAAGGTTCATCTGAAATAAAAATAATGTAATATTAAGCTGTGTTGGTGCTTTTTGCGGCAATCTTCTTTTCTGGTTTGTACAGCTATCAATAACAGAAGACTATCCTTCTGCTTCTAAGGCTCAGGTGGTTCAAAATATCTTCCTTGTTTGTGGGTATTGTTTTGAATCCGCACTTCATTATACCCAGTATTTGCATCTGTAATTCACTTAGGAACATACAGCGACCCCAGGAGTATGTCCAGTGAAGGCTCAGTATGATTGAGCTTGAACAGATGATGAAATTCTTAGGGAAAAATGTGGGACTAGCTGATAGTGACTGAACTTTGCCCATCCATAAAAGGGTCTGCAACAAAGGTCTATATAAAAAATTGGTTTCTAAACCATATTTAGAACAGATTAAAATCAGCCTGTAATTTTACATAAGTAATACAATTAAACCTCCTAAAACTACTTCCTCCAAATTCTATCATTTGGTTCCTATTCATAGGGAATGAGGGTGGTGTACAAACCGCAGGGTTTCCTTCTCCTGTTAGCTGTAATTGAGTATAAGGGGAAGTGTAATACCACCCTTCCCTTTCCTTATTTCTTCAAGATTTGTAAGCTGATAATAATTGAAAATGGATATGTAAAAATTCAGATTATACAGCGGAGGATGGAGTTCAACCAATTCTCAAGTGAATTTCTCACTGAAATAGCAATCATAGTTAGGCACTGCCTATTTCATAATTGTCACAGCAATTCTGTTCGGACTTGTTCACTGCCTTTTTTTAAAAACTATGGATATGTCAAGATAATATTTTACAGCCAACTTATTCATATATGTGGGCTTGCTGAGCTTGTATTCCTGGCTGGCCAGCTTCAAGCCTGCTACCCTATAGTTGCATTATTCGGGAACTGTGGCCAAGCTCATAAGGCCTGCTGAATGGCTGGACTCACAGGTGTGAGTGCACCAGTGTAACAGGGTGGCTGCCATCTTCACCTCTCCTGAGTCACCCATCCTGATGACTCTAACAAAAAATAACCTTCACTTTGAAAAAAGCATGACGAGAGAAAGGTATGTGTTATAGCTGCCCTTACCCCGCTCTGCTCATATAGAGATGCTAATTTTTCCACTTTGGTGGGATGAGCATGTTGACAGGGAGAGAAATGCTGAAATACATAAATGGTGCTGTTTCCTACCGGTAGGACAAAGCCTTTGAACAGTGCCAAAGGAAAGCAAAATATTTTAAGGATGCTTACAAAGAAAAGAAAAAGCAGAGGATATATCCCTCTCTGAAGGGAAATTAGGCACTATCCAGACAAAATTAAACATAAAGGAATTTGCTACATCTTCTACTAGCTACAAGCATTATACATGGATTACGTACGCACAGGTGACCACAGATGAAGGAGTATTTCAGAGAAGTGGCTTTGGTGTCAGGCATGCCAGACTACTTTGCTGTGCAGGCTCTCTTAGAGACCTAACAACAGAGGGACAGGAATAGAAAACTTTTACTTCCATCAGAATCAGCCATAGTGACCTGCCATGGAAAAAGTTAATAGAATATTTGTTTCTCTCTAGCTCTTACTTATACTTGCCACATGTTATTTAAGTTTTGTTTTCTTTAACTTGTTGCAGCCCATTAAGCATCTGAAAGCACAGGGGATGTTGGGAGGAAGCAGTCTGGCATCACTCCATCACTCAACTCTGCCCTTTCTCCTTTTCCGAACTCACGATGATCTGAGCTGTAGATCGTCTCTGCTACCTGTAGAGGCATTGCCAGTGACTTTGGGCAAGGCACAATTCAAGGAGTTTTAAGAAGCAGAGGCAAATGCACAGCTGACTGGCTTTTATATAGAAGTAAACAAAGCAGAAAATGCCATACAGAGAGAAAATCAGGAAACACAGTTAGCTATTGAGCCATTTCCTATCTCTTTTAAATCACTGCAAGTTCCTGCCAAATTTGTGGTAGGATAAGAACACTGCTTTTCTGCTGTTGAAACCTATGAACTTGTTAAGATATTTTCATTCCAGCCATCCAGGATTTCAGCAGG